GCTAAAAGAGATGCACGCCTGATGTTATCTCCTGCTTGTCTAGTTGGGATAAAGCCCACTTGGTCGTTATGAATTAGAGAACCAATACACAAGTTAAGACGTGAAGAGAGGATTTTTGCTAACAACTTGATATCAATGTTAAGGAGAGAGATTGGCCTATAATTGGACCACTGCGTGTCATCAGAATTCGGCTTTGGGATCATTGAGATGTTCGGTTGCACTGTTTCATGGTTGAAGGTTTGGCCTGATAGTAAAGCGTTAAAAGCGTTAGTACGGATGGGAGTGAGGAGATGAGCAAATTTCCTATAATAGGTAGCCGAGAAGCCATCTGGTCCTGGGCGTTTCCATAATTTTAGATTTTTAATAGCGTCTAGGTTTCGGCAGGGGAGATGGGTCGCTCAAGCGTCGCCAACTGGCACTCTGAGAGTTTCGGAAAGGAAATGGAAGTGAGAAGCATATCAGCTTGTGCGGGGTCAAAAGGTGTGGAAGAGGAGTAGAGCTGTGACAAGTGTTTATGGAAGGTCTGTAGAATATGTTCCGAGTTACTGGTAAGGTTGCCAGAGGAGGTACGAATCCGGATAGGTTTAGTGAGTTGGTCGAGCCTACGAAGAGAGAGGGCGAGGAATGTATTGGGTTTATTCACCCTAGTATAGTATTTATGTCTAGATCTACGAAGTGAGAGTTCAGCTTGATCTGTGAGAAAGAGATCTAGAGCCAATCTAGATCGTTCCAAGGCTTCACGATTGGCCGGCGTAGGAGCCGTCTGAAAGGTTTGATGGGAACGATCATAGGTTTGCTCCAGTAAAAGACGTTGTTGCCTTTTGGTTTTATTTAAGAAAGATGCTTTGCTAATGCAGAACCCTCGTAATACCGGTTTATGCGCTTCCCATAACAGGAGAGGGGATATATTGGGCGACTGGTTAAGAGTGAAATAGTCTTTTAATGCTGCTTCGATTTCTAGACAGTGTGCTGGGTTTTCAAGCAGGTTATCATTAATGATCCAAGAGGATTCAGTGGGGGATGCAGCTAACGAGGCCATAGCCGTGAATACGGAGCAATGGTCAGACCAGGGGATTGGAATTATTTCAGAGGTCAGAAGCCGAGTGGAAGAGGCGGTGGTAATGAAAATATGGTCTATCCTGGAGAATGACTGGTGGTGATGAGAATAAAAGGTATATTGGCGTTTAGTCGGGTTGAGTTCCCGCCATGTGTCTATCAAAGAATAACGTTGTAGTATGGCTTGGAAGGTTTGTTTAGGGGCAGGGACGGGGGATGGTTGAGGAGAGATTTGTCGGGAAAGGGATATATTACACTGTTAGAGTCTCCGCTAACAATTAAAGTTCCGCGCTTATGGTGGTCTATAACCGATAGTAGGTGGGAGAGGAATGGTAAGGGGTCTTGGTTTGGGGCATAGTATGCCACAATGGTGACATCCACATCTAGGAGTTGCCCTACTAACAGGAGGTAACGACCCTCTGGGTCCTTGATTTCGGTGGATAGCGTGAAAGGTGTTGTGCGGTGGAAAGCAATCAATACCCCCCTGCGTTTGGTGGTGGCAGAGGCTGTATAGACCTGAGGGTATCGAGGACCAAAAAACTTAGGAGTGGAGTTGGGAGTGAAGTGTGTTTCCTGTAAACAGACCACGTGAGCTTTAAGTGTTGCAAAGGTTCGAAAAGCCTTATTCCGTTTCTGTGGAATATTGAGACCCTGTACATTCAGGGTAAGGATATTCAACGAGCCCATGGATAAAGTGCATAGTGGTTTGAATAGCAGGGCCCTCTCACTCGGGATGTAGCCTGACAATTACTGTTGGGGATGAGAACATTACGGAGTGTGTTGCGCAAAGTCATGGAGTCATGTTGAAAGGAAGGAGGGGGGGTACGGTATGAGACAGGTAACAGGAAAGATGGGGTGTGTAGTAGGCCATTAGTGGCCAAAAAGGTGGGTTCCCAAGGACACCCTGAGCAGGGTGGGCCAGGGAACAGTAGTAGCCCAAGTGTTAATAAATAACCAATAACACAGGGGCTAGGGTGGAGTGTGCAGGTACGCGGACCGCGAGGATGACAGCAATGTAATTAACAAACTGTGGCAAGGTCCCGGTAAAAAACAAAAACACAGGTACATAGAAAGTACATTCAACATTCAAGAAAATCAAGGATCCTAGACTCAGACAGCATTAGTAGTGCAGGTGAGACAACATTGGCGTAGGGGGTGTAGCTTCCCATGTCGCCAGAGTCCAGGACCCCAAATATAAGCAACAATGTAGCACCGAAGGGGGCTGAAGAACAATCCCCGGTAGTGGGGCAACCAAAATTCAACAGGTAGAGGGAGAAGTGATAACAACGGTATTAACCGCCCTGATAACCAAACGAGTACACCGTATGGTGTGTGTGGCATAAAAAAGGGGGGGAAAAGAGAAGAATAAATGTAGGACCGCGTTCAGTCCATGGTATCTTGTGAGGTTAGTCCTGGAGACGAAAAATGCCCTCTCTTGTGGAAATTGGATTGACCTTCAGTTGCACGTGCGGGGAGGGACTTCCGTGGCGAGCGAGATGTGGACCTCCGCTTGGCGCTTTTGAAGGCGTCGCTGGGGGATGTAGTTGCAGGACCCGTAAGGTGTCTAAAAGATCCTCTGGAGTTTTGCATGTGAAATCTTGGGACTGGTATCGGAATCTCACTGCGAAAGGGAAGCTCCACCTATATTGTATAGCGTGTTGTTGAAGCACCTGTAGATGGGGTTTCATAGCCCTGCGCTTGGAGATTGTTGTGGGGCATAGATCTTGGAATAATTGGTAGGAATGACCTTGGAATTGTAGAGATTCCGCGCTACGGGCAGCTTGTAGGAGTTGCTCCTTAGTACGGAAAAAGTGGAGCCTGGCAATAATATCGCGTGGTGGACCATCTGCGCGTCGTGGCGCTAACGCCCTGTGGACTCTGTCCAATTCCAACCTGTCGATTGGGATAGCCGGGGCAAGCTCTTGGAACAGAGCTGTTATCATGGATTGGACATCGACTATCGTTTCTGGAAGGCCACGGATACGTAAGTTTGAGCGCCGCGCTCGGTTTTCAAAGTCCTCCAGTCGTGTTAATAGTGTTGCGTTTTCGTCACGCAGAAGCTCCAGGTCATCCGCATGTGTCTGAAGCGAGGCGTCAAGACCATCTACCCTCTGTTCTAGGTCCGCTGTGCGTTGTCCTAGCTCACGGATTTCCCTAGATAGCGTGGCAGTGATGCGGTCTGAGGTTTGTTTCAGAGCTTTGTGTAGCATTTTTTCAAAGCGTGATAAGAGGTCAGGAGGTGTAAGATCAGGCGTCAGGGCTTGTGTAGGGGCGTCGGTTTCAGTATCAGACTCACCCTCAGACGTGCAGGGATGGCTGGGCTGCGGGACCTGCAGAGCTGTAAATGCCCCTTCTGCATGCTTGCTTCCACGTGCTGGGGTGGTGGCCATTTTGGTGGAGGCCTTTGCCAGGGCCTCTTTGATTGTTTTAGTTGATGGGGGTACCTGGTGCCGGGATGCCCCTTTAACCACTTTGCTGCTTGTTAGGACGGGGGGGGCTGTTATAGTGAATTCAGCCCCCCCAGCTCTCTCCCTCTTCAGCCTGTGTGCAGTAGTGAGCTGTGTGCTGAGGTGAGGTGTGTGCAGCAGTGGGGATCGAGTCCTCAGTCAGAGTACTCTGACTTGGAGCGGAGGATCCGCCGCAGACCCGGGTGGATCAGACTCCGGGATGGTTGCCCAGGGGATCGGATCCCCCCAGAGTGTTTCGCGGGCCGGGACCCGCCGGTTCTGGGTGCCGTCACCCGACGGGTAAGCGGAGCCTCATCGGGACATGTCCGTCCCGCCGGCCGCGCATGCGCACTCTGTTATTTTTGTTTTTAATAAAGGACTTGTCAAAGACTGTATTTTTTTACACTACACTTTTTTTTTTTGTGAATGGGTAGCGGTACCATGTACCGCATACTCATTCACATGGGGGTGGTGGGATCTGGGGGCCCCCTTGTTGTAGGGGGCTTCCAGATTCTGATAAGCCCCCTGCGTGTAGACTCCCACAACCATCGGCCAGGGAAGAGACCCTTGTCTCCATCAGCATGGGGACAACGTGCTTTGGGGGGGAGCCCCCCTGCCCAAATGCACCCCCCATGTTGAGGGTATGTGGCCTGGTATGGTTCCGGGGGGGCGCTCGCTCATCTCCCCTTTACTGACCTGCCGGGCTACAAGCTCGGATGAGGGTCTGGTATGGTTTTGGGAGGGCCCCTATGCCATTTTTTTTTTTAATTTTGGCATGGGGGTTTCCCTCAAAATTCATACCAGACCCAAAGGACTTGGTATGGATGGGAGGGGGGACCCCATGCCATTTTTTTTTTCATTTAAATTGTGTGGCAATGCTGACAATGCTTTTGACATTCAGCTGTCAGCAAGGAACCCCGCTGACAGCTGAAACATGAATGAATGTTTCACTACTAAAATACTGCATGACATAGTAATATATGTAACTCATGCACTATTTTAGTAACTGAGTGGTATCTTACCGTATACTTTGAAGATGTAAGATACTGCTCAGTATATTGGCCCTGTTCGAAGTTTGAGGTCAAACGTTCGGAAGGTTTGAATGTTTAACCACGAACCGAACACGGGAGTGCTCAGCCCATCACTAATTGCATGTAGTGAAATTTCAAACTTTTTAGGAGAGACAAGTATTTCCAAAAACCATACCTACTATAATTCTTTAGTTAGGTGCTAGTAGGTTTAGGCAAATTTAGTTTTAGCTCCTCTAGAGCCAGTGGAGAAGATTGCTTTTGACTGCTACTTTCTTTTGGTGGTATTTAATCACCACTGGGTGTGTTATTTTTGGCTAAAAAACAAAAAAAGACCGTAAATTTAAAAAAGATTCTTAGTTTCTATTATACAATTCTGCAGGTAATTTTTCTCCTTCATTGATGTGCAATGATGAGGCTGCACTGATGGGCACTGATAGCAGCACTCATGGGCACTGATAGGCGGCAATTATGCGTACTAATAAGCTGCACTGATGGGCACTAATAGGGAGCACTGAAAGGCACTGATAGGTGGCATTGGTAGGTGTCACTGACTGGCAGTACAAATTGGCACTGACTGGCAGCACTGCTGGGCACAGATTGGCAGCACTGACGGGCACTGATTGGCAGCTGTGTTGGGCACTGATTGACAGCACTGATGGACCCTGGTTGGCATTGATAGGAAGCATTGATGGGCACTGTTGGGGCTGCACTGATAGACAGGGCACTGATAATCAGTGCCCTGATATCATTGTAGATGTCTCCTTTCACATTAGCATTACTTTCCTCATGCTGTGATGGGGGGGTGCAAGGGGGTGTGGTTCTTGGAGGACGTCATATGACTCCCTCCCAGAACTGGACGACCGTGCTGTAGCCGTCATACGGCTATAGCACGGTCAGCAAGTGATCAAAAGAAATAGATATAAAAGCTGCCATTTCTGATCTCATTCCTAACTATTTCTGAAAATTCTAGTTTCCTGTATGTTAAACTGATCCACTGGTTCAGCCATCAATCTAGATCAAGCATACAGTATACATTATAAAAACTGCACATTCTTTATGGTTTGTCCTACTTGTCAGTAAATCTGAATATTTTAAAACCAGACAGTCAGCATAGTAGCCATCTGAGGTTTTCAAAAAGAGATCAGCCATGACAGCACAGCCTAAGTATTTCTTTAATGACAGGTTTTCTTTAACAATTAAGGCAGACCATACAATTCTAATATACCTGACTTTGTAACTTTCCTAAGCAAAAAAAAATTGTCTTTAACTGTGCTATTCCATCACTGCATTAACTCTATGACAAGTTTACTTTAACAGTAGCCACACTGATGACAGAGAAGGTTAATCACTGGTGCCCTATAAAAGGTTAAGACATAGTAAACAAATGAGCTGGAAATGTAACCTCTAAGTCATTTGACCTTTATCTATAATGTGGAACATAGTATAACATACCACATGCAAAGAGTGAGGGCAAAGGTTGTACAAGCTAACATTCCAATTACTGAACCATGGGCTAGATATATTTAAAACCCATAAATCAATACTATATAAACAGATCATATAAATGAAATATGTATTTGGAGGCACATATTTTACTTTTGAAAACCGTTTGTGTCTTCAGTGTCTTTATTTCTGTTATTTGACCTGCTTCTATTTAATAGCCCACTGGCAGTAATGACTATATGTTGGAGCGATGTTAAGCTGAAGTGTAGTTCAGATTGCCTTGTTAACAGGATTTATTAGATGTTGACCTTCCCTCTCAGCATAACAGAGCAGAGCAGTCACATTCTCATTAGCATTTATCTAAAGATAGCTTACTGCCTGTTCTGCACTAAATTAGTTCCGTCAGCCATAAAATGCCTTTGCAACATCTCTTCCTATGGGAAAAAAACTCAAGATGTTAAGTATTTTCTTAACTGTGCAGAATAGACCAAATACTGGTATTTATGCAGACCTATAAGAAAAAAAACATATAAAAATTAGAAAATATTAAAGTTCAAGAACCTTTATTATTATTATTATTATTATACAGTATTTATAAAGCGCCAATAGTTCGCTCAGCGCTGTACATTACAGAGGGGGACAGAACATGTGACAGAACAATACCAATACAATGCAAAACATGAGGGGATTGAGGGCCCTGCTCTTTCGAGCTTACAATCTTACAATTAATTTCACCATGCATTCCATGATCCCCATTACATATAAAAACATTGCTTTTGAATAAGAAGCTGCTTTAGAATTTAATATCTGTAGGTCATGTGCAGACTCTCTCCCAAGCCTGTGCACCTAAAGGATCAGGCTGACACAGTCCCCCCCTGTTCTGCATAGATTACAGGATAGGCTAGATGTGTGGCACATACCCCTTAGCTTCATGGGAACAAGTGCTCTGGCTTATTCAAAACCCACGCATGTGCAGTGTATCTCTTTCCACTGTTGTACAAAGCTGAGCTGAGCTGCTGCTGCAACAAAGGGAGACAGAGACACACTGCACAAGCACAGGTTTTCTTATGAGGGGGGGGAGTCCCAAACGTAGGTGAATGAGTAAGGGATACAGAGTACCCCTGGATATCAATTTACAAAGAAGTTAGAAAGTAAATGAATACATACATTCCTTTGAAAAAGTCCTGTATTAAGAAAAAAAAAAAAAAACAAATTGGGCCCATGGTGTAAATCTATTGTCAATCAATTATCTAGTGATGCAGATCCCTATCAAGCATAGTGACTGACACCCACTGACCCAACAACATGTCCACTGCTCATGATGATGTTCTCTCGACAGACTCACTACAGATGACAGCTCCTGGCTCTGCAGCTGAATGTAAGCTTGTTGACATCATTAACCAAATATGATCAGGACTCTATTTGGTCAGTGGCATCACCTAGAATACCTACTGGCTTTTATACAATTTGTGACCAAATTATGCTATGCTACCAATAGATATTAAAATCACTTCTGTGACATATCTAATTTAATAAACTTATTAAATTAAACAGAACCAAGAGTGGTGATCATGTCCAAAATACAATATATTTACCCCTTAATAATGAGCTTGAATTCAGTTTAATCTGGGTAGGCATGTTGAAGTGTATGTATAGCAGGAAAGGGTTTAAACTCATGTCAGTTTATGTTTTGTTGTCTGTGTCCTGTTGGGAACAGGGGCAGACTGACAACTCATGGGGGCCCCGGGCAATAGGGGATCATGGGGCCCCCGGGCAATAGGGGATCATGGGGCCCCTATGTCCTTGCCCACACTAAAAAAAAGCCTATAAAAGGTACCAGGGGCATTTCATGGGGCCCCCTACTAACCCCGGCCCCTCGGGCGGTGCCCGAGTGCTCGAATGGTCAGTCCGCCCTTGGTTGGGAACATGTCCCTTTACAACTTGTCATGGGATGCAACCCGGAAGTGAAAAGAAATCTCTACAATTATTATTATTATTATTATTATACAGGATTTATATGGCGCCAACAGTTTGCTCAGCGCTTTACAATATAATGGGTAACAATACAGTTCAATACAAGAGGGATAGGAGCTTACAATCTGCCCCTTAGCCAGTGTGTCACTGGAACAGGTGTCCCCATTGCAGGGGCATTGCGAGGATTGCATAGGCTCTGAGGTATCCTGGAGCACACAAAGGTGGTAAAGGTTTTGGTGCAAAGAATAGGTCACAACTTTCAATGAAAGAGGCTTGAATGGGATAGTTAACCACTTGCCTACCGGGCACTTAAACCCCCTTTGTGCCCAGGCCAATTTTCAGCTTTCAGTGCTGTCGCACTTTGAATGACAATTGCTCAGTCATGAAACATTGTACCCATATGACATTGTTTTTCACACAAATAGAGCTTTCTTATGGTGGTATTTAATCGCCGCTGGGTGTTTTATGTTTTGCACTATAAACACAAAAAGAGCAAAAAAAAAAAAGTTTTTCTTTGTTTCTTTTATAAAATTGTGCAAACAGGTAATTTTTCTCCTTCACTGATGAGGCTGCACTGATAGGCAGCACTGATGGGCACTGATGAGGTGGCATGGATAGGCAGCACTAATGGGCACTGATAGGAGGCACTGATAGGTGGTATTGATAGGCGGCACTGATGAGCTGGCACTGATGATGCTGCACTGATAGGTGCCACTGCTGGGCAGCACTGATGGGTGGCACTGCTGGGCAGCAGGTGGATGGTACTGATGTGCACAAGTGGGTGGCACTGCTAGGCACAGGTGGGTGGCACTGCAGGGCACAGGTGGGTGGCACTGATGGGCACAGGTGGGTGGCACTTCAGGACACAGGTGGGTGGCACATATGGGTACAGGTGGGCAACACTGCTGAGTACAAGTGGGTGGCACTGCTGGGCACAGGTGGGTGGCACAGGTGGGCGGCACTGTTGGGCACTGATCATCAGGGCACTGATCATTAGTGCCCTGATGATCAGTGCCGATCCCTTCACTGACAATTGTCAGTTCTCGGCAGTACTTTCCTCACGCTGTGATAGCGTGAGGAAAGTGCAGCCAATAGCCGGCAACTGCATTTACCAGTGATCTGTCATTGGACACAGCTGATCATGTGGTAAAAGGCTGTCATGATTAGCCGTTTATTGTAACCCATGATCAGCTGTGTCCGTAGGACACAGTGATCACCGGCGGCGCCAGGCGCGCGCCGCTGGGGGTGCGCAGGAGGGCGTGTTTTTTGGATTGACATCCATGGACATCGTCCCAGAACCAGGCAGCCATGCTGTAGCCACCCTTCAGCTATTACATGGTAGGGAACTGGTTAAATCAAATGGCAGCCTAATTGGAGTATGTAACATACAGCCCTGTGTACAGTGCAGAGGTCAAGAGCATGTAACTTTCTAAGTGCTGGAGTCAGAAATATGTAACATACTGAGTTCAATAGACACAAGTATGTAATATACTGATTGAAGGGGTCAGTAGTATGTTATTTACACAGTGAAGGGTCAGGTGTATGCAACATACTAAGTTCAGGGCTCAGTCATATGTAACATACGGAGTTCAGGGATCAGGAGTATATAAAGTACTGAGGGCAAGGGTCAGAAGTATGTCAAGTGTTAAATGCATGTTTCCCATATATGTAACCTCTGAGGTTTAGCAATGTATTATGCACAGAGTGGAGGGATCAGGAGTGTATTGTATATAGAGTACAGGCGTCTATACTATGTACAGAGTACTGGGGACAAACATGTCTTATATACAGAGTGCAGGGATCAATAGTAAATCATTTACAGCATCCAGGGTCAGTGTTCCATCCCAGTGTACGAGGCCTGTAGATTGATCCGGAGTATATAATATACAGCCTAGCATATAGAATTCAGGGGCCAGGACTATGTAATGTACAGAGTGCCAGTCTCGGATGTGTGTAATGTACAGCATGCGGGGGTCAGACATACAGTTGTGTCCAAAATTATTCAACCCCCACTGAAATTGAGTGTTTTGGCCAGTTTGACATTGCTTTTGATCATTCAGTCATCTTGCTTACATTTACATTAAAGAGGCACTTGTAGGTCAGACAAATATAACATAACAGTTATAATGAAATAACCACAAATGTCTTTTCTGTGCTCACAGCATTATCAGTTTTATTCAACCCCCAAGTGACATTCAATCTTAGTACTTAGTACAGCATCCTTTTACAGTTATAACAGCTTTTAAACGTGAAGCATAGCTTGACACAAGTGTCTTGCAGCGATCTACGGGTATCTTCGCCCATTCTTCATGGGCAAAGGCCTCCAGTTCAGTCACATTCTTAGGCTTGCGCACTGCAACTGCTTTCTTTAAGTCCCACCAGAGGTTCTCAATCGGATTTAAGTCTGGTGACTGCGATGGCCACTCCAAAATGTTCCAGCCTTTCCTCTGCAACCATGCTCTAGTGGACTTGGAGGTATGCTTGGGATCATTGTCCTGTTGAAAGGTCCAACGTCTCCCAAGCCTCAGGTGTGTGACGGACTGCATCACGTTTCCATCCAATATCTCCTGGTACTGAAGAGAATTCATGGTACCTTGCACACGCTGAAGCTTCCCTGTACCTGCAGAAGCAAAACAGCCCCAAAGCATGATTGACCCTCCACCATGCTTCACAGTAGGCAAGGTGTTCTTTTCATCATAGGCCTTGTTCTTCCTCCTCCAAACATAGCGTTGATCCATGGGCCCAAACAGTTCTAATTTTGTTTCATCAGTCCACAGAACACTATCCCACAACTTTTGTGGTTTGTCCACATGGCTTTTGGCATACTGCAGTCGACTCTTCTTATTCTTTGGAGACAGCAAGGGGGTACGCCTGGGAGTTCTGGCACGGAGGCCTTCATTACGCAGTGTGCGTCTTATTGTCTGGGCTGAAACTTCTGTACCCACATCTGACAAATCTTTTCTCAGTTCCTCAGCAGTCACACGGGGACTTCTCTCCACTCTACGCTTCAGGTAGCGCACAGCAGTCGAAGTCAGCATCTTCTTTCTGCCACGACCAGGTAGCGTTTCAACAGTGCCCTTTGCCTTGAATTTGCGAATGATGCTTCCTAAGGTGTCTCTTGGTATGTTTAACATCTTTGCAATCTTCTTATAGCCATTGCCCTTCCTGTGAAGAGAAATCACCTCTTCTCTTGTCTTCCTGGACCATTCTCTTGCCTTCACCATGTTTGTAACCACACCAGTAAATGTCTAGAAGGAGCTGAGTATCACAGTCATTTTAAAGCTGCCTAATTGGTGCTTATTATGCTTGATTGCTGCTCGGTGACATCCACAGGTGTTTTCAATACCTGATGGAAAGCACCTGTATGAACCTCTGTTCTTCAGAGTGGTAGTCTTTAAGGGGTTGAATAATTGTGGCAATGAAGAAGCCACATAAGAACCATTTACTACTGTATTACATAAACAATTGATGTCATTTTAGTTGCATTTGGGTAGTTACAACGTCCTTGTAGGATTTGATTCTGAATACAATTCCAAATGTACACTATAGTCCCTAAACCCCTTTACAGCATTGGGGGTTGAATAATTTTGGACACAACTGTATACACAGCTTAACAAACACTAAGAAACACACACATACATTAGCCAACACGTTTCTTATTTTCTGTAAATTCCTCTAATGGCATGGCTGCCAGAAGGTTCATCCAGCAATTACAGCTCACCTTGTCCAGCTTCTGCCCATTGGGTAGTGAGGGTGGCAGTCCTGAGAAGGAGTGGCATGATGGTCTGTGCAGTGAATACCATGTCCAGCAGCCGTAGCAAAGCTGCATGACAATGGTATTGGGACTTGTGGAACCAGGAAAAAGATTGGGATGCACGCGCTTCAGGTGCCCATTAATTCATACAGCGATGAGCAAACTTTTTGGCGCTATATAAACATTGTATAATAATAATAATAATAATAATAATAAATTCATTGTAATGCCCATACCCCATTGGAAGATTTTCCCTCATTTCTAACTCTAAAGTTTTGGATTTCTCCTCACTCTCGGTCTAGATGAAAATTGTCAAAAGTAGAAATACTGTGATGTATTCCCCAACATGGAACATACAGCAATAAAATCATTTGTGAAGTGTCTAAACCTTCTTTACGCCATTGAAAACAAAAAGGTTAGCCTTTACATACGCTTAGTGCCACACATGTGGCACTGACACCCACTTGCGGTCTGCAGTGGGTGTCAGTGTTAAAAAAATGACACCCCGAACACAGGTCACAAATGCAGTGTGTTTGCCTGCACCAGATCACACAGTACAGTAGTATGCAATCCAGTTGCTGTGCATTTTCTCAAGTACTGTATGCACTATTTTTTCTATGGTCTGATGTGATTTCAGCCAATTCAAAAAATCGGCTGAAATCGCTCTGCACCTACATTGCATGTGGATTGCACAGGAGTGCACAAAGAGTTCCTGTGTGATTCATGGTGTGAACCAGCCCTTAAAGCAAATAATTGCATAGCAAAAGAATACTGTACATATAATTATCATTTATCTTTAGATAATTAAAGGTTTTTATATTATCATTATTAATAATAAGAATAATAAAGCTGCATGTAAATATGTCCATTATGTTTGTAACGCTAATGGACATATTTACAAGCAGCTTTGTTGCATATGCTTCAACTGCTGCACAGTAACCTATATAAGAAATGAGGAACAAGAACCTTCACGGAAATCCCTCATTTCCTCAGCACAGCCTCATTTGACAGCTGCCTGTTCTGTAAGAGTTACAAAGTTTTCCTACCAACTATACTAAGCTCTGGTTACCCATTTAATGATCACATTCTTGTTGTAAATGATACTATATTAAATACTGGTGTGAAAAACACACCCAAATGTGTACTTTTTTTTATAATTTATTGCAAAAAAGGTTTTTGTTTTTTTTATACGTAACATAAGTAAATACACAACTATGTGAGTCAGTTCTGGTGCTGAAGACTGAGATAACTGAAATACAAGGCGCTTGTGCCATCTGCAGGTCAATGCTTGTATCTAAGCTTTTCATGAAATCCCTTTTTGGATATTCAGAAATGTATGCAGCCAAGCACCAAGCCAGTCATACAACTGTTGTTATTACAGCATATCTTTAATTTGCATTAGAAGTAAAAAAAAATCTGAAATGGTTAGTCCATCCAAAATGAATTCTTCTGATTTTAGTAGATTCTCAAGAGTTTAAATGATCTAACAATGTTTTATGTATCTCAGGGATTTTGATGGTGAAATCTCTATGTTTACATTTTATCATGCACATCTGCATAATTATGAGTGAGCCCTGTTCTGTTTGTTCAACTTTTAATTAGGTTTATATAATAATTATAATAATAATAATATTAATAATAATATTGTAACAGGACAAGTGCAGTAGGTGTAAGATCTGATTGGGCAGGTGTTCCGGAAAAGAGACAGTAGATTCTTGCAACTGGGGCTGTCAAGGAATAGGACAAGTTAGAGGAGGAATTAAATCAGCAAACTCAATTATAAATTGGTTGTAAAAGCTACAGGTTTTTTTTTTACCTTAATGCATTCTCTACATTAAGATAAAAAAAAAAAACTTTCATGTTCAGCTCCCCCGAGCCCCCCTAACAATATTTAACTGAGCCAGATCTTGGTTCAAAGCTCTGCCCAAGAGCAGCAGCGCTGGTCTTCCTCTCTCCACATAGGGACTGAGGCATCAGCGTTTGCCTTTAGCCTTTGCTGCTGTCAATCAAATCCTGTGAAGAGGGATGCACTGTGTGTGTCAATAGATGCA